GATGCTTAATTTGTTTTTTCAGAAATCTGAAACACTGACCAAGGAATAATTCTAGCATGATGCAAGCTTGGTGTGTTAAAAGTAACATTTTCTACGTTGCGCAAAATATTGCCTAGTATTCGTTCTCAGTCATTTTATTATAAATAAAATTTTTAGTAATAAAATACTTATTTGCTTCCTGCCCATTTTCACCAGACTGGTGCAAAATTAATTATGCAGTCAGATTTTGTGTTTGCAATAGAAAACTTTTGCAGAAACTTTCTTGTGTTGCACACCACTGCCATTTTTAGCCTGAAAGTTCAGGTTACAAAAACATTTCTTAATAACGCTGCTAGAGGAACTGCAGCCACAAAAACATTCTTTGTACACCAGCCTTTAATGGACATTGATGGCTTTTGCTGTGCTTCAAGGAAAATGATTCGAGTGCTTCTCACGAGCACCGGTACAAAGTTGCTCTTCCAGGCCATTTTCAACAATCGGCTGCGTGACACAAACTGTGGGGCACACATGCCCTCTTGTGGTCAGTGTCCTTGTACGTAATAGTACAGCTGTGATGCTCGACTAAACGGAGATGTCGAAGAGAAGAAACTGTAAAATTACCTCGCCTTCTAATAACTTCCAGAGATGCTGAGCACATGCAGCTGACTTTGCCCGAGTTCGATAAGCCAGCAGCTGAAAAGATCAGGGCACACACTTAGTTGCCAAAACATGGCTTTACATGTTTACACACCTGAGCTCCAACATCTTGCTTGAGCTTTTTCCTCTCATTTCCTGTTTTTTAGTGCCTAAAAGATGCTTAGTGCCTGGCACAAAAAAAAAAAAAAAAAAAAAAAAAGATAAGAGACCAAGGATACAAGAGTAAAAGTGGATAGACACACAACTGCTTCATAAAAGAACGCTAGTTACTGCATCAGAAACCCTGGACATTGCAAGTGCCCAGCAATGACTACTCTCCTATACCAGGATTTTCCTTTTCAGGAGAAACGGTTGCTAACTACATATACGGATGTCATTTTCACAGCAGAAGGTTTTTTTTGTTGGTTTTTTTTTTAAGGGATTACTTCTTTCAGGGCTTCATCTTGCACCACCGTCTGGTGGAGGAACAGTGTGAGGTTGGCAGACACTCCGTGATACTGCAGATACGCAGGACGGAGCCATTGTGCACATCAACCTCACGTATAACGTTCAGGAAGTGAGAAGCAGCTGTGGCAACTGACCAAAATATTTCCATGTTTGCAACAGACAGCAATAGCACACAGATCCAGAAAAGTCGTCTTGCATATTTACATTGGCAGAATGCACTCATGGCCACGTCGTTGCATTCATTTCTGTTGTTTCAGTCCCACATAAAACACTTTCTGCCAAAGCCTTTGGGACACCTTTGTTTCCTGGTGGCTTATGCAAATTGGTTTTGCTTCATTTTCCTATTTCTTTACTTCCATGCAATGGAGAAGAGCAAGCTTTTAGGGAACCCTGTCAAGAGGTAGATTCATTTCAGACGTTTCATAGACAGATTTGTTTGGCAGCAAAATGTTGCTCTCCTGGAGCCAGAAATACTCACCTGCAGAGCAATAGGTGGGTAATATTTGTGTTCCTGCTTGTCATGCTCTATTTGCTTGGTCATTCTCCCTCCATTACCTTGTCTCTGACCAAAGAAGAAAAAAATAAAAACAAAACCCAGATGGATCCAAACCCTGGAGTTTAGCAAATCCCTAGTGTCAAGCCAGACAAAGCAGATATAATTCTTTGTGATTTTAACAACGTATTCTGAAGAGTTCTGCCTTCAGTAAGCATTTCACAGTGTCAAGATTGTCTCAACCTGCACCCTTCTTTTAGCTCTGCATTACGTCTTGTATGCCTTCAGGCAAAACTCATCCAGCAGAAGACTGGCACTTCACTACCACATCACATCTCTGTGCATCACAGTGTACACAAGGTATCCTAAACAAAGGAAATACTCTTAATGAAAATGTTCAACCAAGGAAAGGACATGAACAGAAATCTTTCCTTGCCACAATACAGCAGGCTATTAAATAGGGGTGTTTGGCTAAGAAATGACATGGCAATCTTCAAGACTGCTTAAGACTCAACTAAGTAAATCTGAACTAAGGATTTCAGAAGTCTAAACAGGCCTATAAAGCTTAAAAATTTCCCTTGGCTGTTTAAATCATAACACTGAGGACTAACTTCGGTGACCAGTAGTTCCTGCCTTCTCACAGTAAGTACTCCTGTCTCCTGAAGTCCTGTGCTTGACTGCGATCTATGGACAAAAGCTTTGTTGAAAAGTTGATATAATTGCAGCAATACAGAATGGGAAAACTCGGGGTGTTGTGGGTTGGTGGTTTGAGGTTTTTTTTTTATACACAGACAGATAAACAGGCATTTACTATTTTTATTTGGCTTGTGAAGAGGTCGAATGTGATCTGACAGAATAAGTAAAAAAGATTACTTGCTACACACAGGGCCAGGTACAAGAACTGCTCGACCAAACTGTATCTTTAATCAAATAAATGTTTATACATAATGGCTTAGTAGAGACATGCTAAGATGTTGCATAGATCTGCTGGACAAGAAAATGAAAATTTTGTCAATTACAAGGCCTCATTATTGTAGTCTCAAAATCACTTCAGAGTCACTCATTTTTAGATTCCAGGCATCCCTGGAAGCCTGTGAAATGCTGTTATTTCTGTTTTTCACATGGGACTGAGACAGTCGGTAGTTAAGATCAGACTGAGACAGAGTACAGAGCCGAATCAAATAGCCCCAGATACGTGGTAATGTCCCAAGCGCTTTCTTTTCTTCAGCACAGATATGTGGCTTCCCAGTGTTCAGCATACTTGGTTCCCTATGCGGCACACCCACTTCTTCCTCAGTTCAATGGGAGACAATCAAATAAAACTCCAGTTTTAAGGAACAGCTCCATTGCTGGAATAATTGAAAACAGAGTTAAGTGCAGACAAAGGAAAATATGCTGGTTTACTCAAAGCTGAACATATTTGTCTTGAGAATATACAAACCAATGTATGAAACAGCTGAGATACCAGAACAGACAGGACAGATAAATTTTAATGGCCTAACTTCGCAGTGTTTTCTTCACATACACAGCTACGAACATTGAAAGATCCCTAGCAAGAAACTATAAAGCTCTGAATGCAAACCTCTAAGCATATTCATGACTTCAGTATTAACAGCTGGAATCAATTCACATAAGAAACCCAGACTAGCTCTGTACTGAAAAAATTCCAGAGGCCACACTGCTGCTATCAGTATTTCCTGACCACTGACTTTGCCTTTAGAATCTACGACTTGCTGCAGAACTTGTGCTCCAGACTCCACATGTCCATTTAGCACCACTGTGTTCAGGTAAGGACAAACATCTTTAAAAAGCAGAAAGTGCAAACCAATGCTGTGTTGCCCACCTATAGCCTGAAGCAGCTGGGGAGCACAGGAATGGATTGTGCCTGTTCATTGCACTGGGGGGAAATCTTGTATTTGTAAATGTATTTCAATTTTGCAGTTCCCAGTGTTAACATCAAACATTGTACAGAAAGTAGTCCTTTATGGACCCAGATCATGTGCTTATTTGATAAATCTGATTCCCTTCCTATTCCTTTCCAAAAGCTTTGGCAATTGCAAGTACCTCCAACTTCCTATGAACTTTTACAATGGAATTCAGCTAAAGCAAGCACGTATCCAGCAGCACATGGGATTTTGCCCTGAGCATATTCAAGTCAATATGAAGTTTTTATCCAAACTCCTGTTACACTTAGCCGCACTGACAAATGTGACCATGCAGAGACCTTGCCATAGAAGTTAGCTCCAAGCTCCTATGAAGGTTTTTGAGTCCTTGAACTGTGAGACAAACATTGATCTGATCCGACTCATGAAAAAAATGTGTATCAGAAAGCCCTTGCAAAAACCAAGTTAATCACGATCCCAGGTTGTCAGCACTGCTCCTGAGTCCTCTTTGCTTTCTTCTCAGCAAACAAATACAGTGATGTTCTCTATACTAAATGGCACAGGAAATTATGTTCACCTACCTTTTCATAAATTCCATCTCTATGGAGATTAACATCAGGATGTCAGTCTTCATGGAATTCAGTACATGTCACAGGTCCAAGAAAAAAGATCCAGAATAAAACTGCAACTGGCTATTCCTTCTACAAGAATGGAATTGGTATGCGATTTGTAATTTAGGCCCAATTCGCACATCTCCGGACAGCTAACCAGGCTGCTGTAATTCCTGAGACCAATCAGAATGCTTTGGAGTAGGCCATTCCCTTCCTTCAGCATTGCAGAGAAGTCCCTCGTTCCTTGCTTTGCAATTCCTTTTGCCAGAGGATAAGTGAGGGAACACAGTTAGCCTCATGACACCAAAGCCCTTACTGGGATTCTTTAAAAACCGACCTAATGGCATAAGTAACACACCGTTATGTGCTGTGACTCACGTACACTGCCTTGGCAGTAAGAACTAGGAGGGAGGGAAAGAAGCAGAAACCACACTACTCCCCTCGTGAAGCGTCTGTCAGTGTCGTGGGCAGAAGGTGAGGAACGCCAACACAGCTGGGATATGGGCTGGCAAGGAAACGACAACCAACCTGTGACCATGGCAGCTTTCTTGGGGACACCAATGAGAATCCAAGTGTGACCAGTGATTGACTTGTGACTTTTTAACACCTTTGAAGATAAGTAGGTCAGCTAAATAAAGAGGGATTTCAGGCTGTCCTTTAGTTTCAAAGGCCTATGTCTGGAGTACAAAAGAAGACTCAAGAGTAGTAACAGGACATTCCTGGGGCAAAAGGGGGCTCGATGCAAAGCAAAATACATACATTCTTTTCAGTTTGGACCTTTAAAAACCCATATTCTTTCAAAAAGGAGAAGACAGGGGCAAGGCAAAACCAGGATAAACATCACATATACTATTATTAAAACAAGTGCATAGGGAGGGCAAGTTAACTTGTATTGCTATTCACTTTGTCATCCGCATTCCAGGCCATCCCTTAATATCCATAAATCTCATTCTCCACCCAGGTTGATTCCTTGCTCCTCCCCACACGATCTCCACACAGCTCATAGATATCATTGGTCACAAAGCCACTTTCAGTACTGGCCAATGTCACAAAGCCACTCGTTGATGTATTAATTGCCGCATCATCATAATCCCTGGAGAGGCTGTCAAGCACTTTATCTTCCTGTGTACGGAAGGAAGAATTCTTAGTCTCAGGCCTGGTTCCTGCCAGATCTGCTTCTGATTGCTTCTTGATCACTTTGTAAATATCCAGATTTGGACTGCTCCTCCTGGGGTTAGACAGCCATGCATCTTCCTCCTTTGGACTTACATCTATTCGCTCCTGTCTCCTTAGGGATGGAGGAAAGAGGACGAGTCATAATATGCTTTTTTACAGAGACAAATACAAAACAATATCACACCTCTTACAATAATTTAATGATGACCCTTGAGGAAAGCCGACACTCAGAGTTTGGACTCAGCATGCCATTCGTTATTACTTGCCATTCCAGATGTGTGGCAGCAGGCTGCACACCTGGGGCAGTCCCATGGCAGGACCTGCTGAAGTACCACTTGCACCCTTCTGCCAGCTGAGATGCTAAGGCAGCAAAACTTGACACTGACACTCCCCAAACCACAGCCAGCATCCCCAGCAGAGATACTGTGCACACAGGGAAAGCAAGGAGAGGAAACTGGTTAACGTTAGTTGCCCCAAACTTTTATCCTTTTATTTCTATTACTATGTTTTTCACTTTTGAAGGGGATCTTCTGATAATTCAAATCTTTTCTTTAATAAGAAAACTGAAATGCTAACACTTCAAAATCATCATCTTGTTTTATACTATTCCCTCACTACTATGTGTCTCTGAACATAATAAAATGGCATAACGTGATTTACTTAGTAAAATTTTACTTCACAAGTAGCGCAGCCTGGAGCATCCATGACACTTTTTAAACATTTATTTGGCTTAAACCAATCCTCCCCAGAGCATCTTACAGCATCCTGAAGCTAGCTGTAAAATGATTGCCAGGACAAGATATCACAGGGTCACTCGTAACACAAAAATGTCACTTACCTCTTAGCGAAAAGCCAGAACCAGAAGATGGCTGTAATGACCATCAAGAGAAGCAGCACAGGAATGCTGGGAATAAGGATGTAGGCAAGACTCTGAACAGGTTCTAGGGGTAAAAATGAGATTCCAGCTTTTATTCACTTCCAGTTGCATTTGATATGCATAACAGTTGCAAAAGGCAGCATCATCACACCTCAATGGGCTTCTAGTCTTGTTCATAATCTAGCGGTATCTGCTTCTCAAAGGCAGCAAGTCTAACAGAGACCAATCATCTAGTTAAGCAGGTTAAAGTAAAATAAGCTCAAATCTTCAACATGAGGACCCAACAAGCCTCACTATGTCACTGTAAGAAGGCAACAGTAGTGCAAGTTAATGAGATATGCTCTCTTTTAAAAGCTTAGGAACACCCAGCCAAAAGATTTCAGAGAGCAAAATGTCTTTTATGATCTGTAAATTTGTAGGGGGAAGTCAGTGTGGTAAGAAGAAATTTAAAGTTTTTCATAGTTAATAATAGATTTACAAACAAACGTTAACAATTTAGAAATTCAAAAGTGAGAGAATAAATTTTTCAGACTCAAAATACTTTGCACAGCTTTAGATTTAGAACATTTTGGTAGTCAAAGCAATCAGTTTAGGTTTGTACCGGCAAAGATTTGAAGGAAGGTTTTTTTTTTTTTCAGATGTGCTTGTCTAAATTCAGTCTTCTACAATTAGGGCCAAACACTTCAAACTGAAATGTTGACTGTTCCCAGCCATGTGTGAGAAATGTGGGCCTGCGTAGTTAGAGCGAGAACAGACCAGCTGTTGAATGCACAGCATACCTTTGGCTTCTGCAACTGTTACATTAGCGTCTTTCGTGTGGCGTTCTTCTGGGAATACTGCGTTCAAGGGCTCTGTTGCAACATCTGGAAAGAAGCAGATTAATTAATTTTGTAAATGTTATCTGAAAGAGTTTAAGAATCACAAAAAGTGAGGGTGAGAGGACATTGAAGAGACTGGCAGCTGCAAAGATGCGTAATGTGTGCTGGTACTCTCTTGCTTTGATTTCTGCAGCATGACCGGTGGTCCCAGATACTGCATCAACAACAGGAAGACTGTGTTTCTACAGAATGGATTCTAGAATAGCACCAGGGAAGTGCAAACTGCAGGGAAGCTTCTTGCTCAGTAAGCTTTCGGTCTGAGTGTCCACGACAATGAACGTAACAGAGAGTGTTTCTACTGAAAGTTAGCATATCATGAAAAAAAAGTCTCAAATAAATACCTGTAACTCACCTCTTTGAGAATTCTCTGTTGGAGCATTCGTTGGCTTCTCTGAAAGAAAAAAAGATATGCACAATTTCCTCATAAGCTTGAGTAGGGAGACCAAGCGTACTGAATATAGTCTAATAACATGTGTACCCTTCTTTAGTGTTCTCTCTCCCTCAGGCCCCATTTGAGATCTCGAATACTTTATATGAATTCTCAGAGGATTTCTATAAGTCACAAGGCAAGTAGTACAGATATTAGATACTGAGATGGTTTTCCCCAGACTTGCATAAATTTAAAGATACCTGTCTCCCACCAGATCTTTCCAGTGAAGCTCACAAAGGGTTTCCCTATCTGTCACTGCAATCTCCTCATACCTCCTCTTGGGGACTGGGAGCAGGTTCGTTTTTAAAGCTACAGAATGACTCATTACCAAGAGAATATTTGCAAATGAAGTTATTTTTCATGTTGCATCTGTCATCGTTCCATTGAAACGTGTAAGGACCTCCGACACCTGGTGGGGCAGATGGCTGGTGGTACATCACAACACAGATTTCACTCCCACAGGATGGCTCATCTACATACCAATTCCTAAGAAAATACAACAAACATGTCAAGTAAGACTTGACATTGCTTTCCATGGCACTGCAGAAGCTCAGATCGGAACGCAGCGTACAGGGCACCACAGAGGGCAGAATCAAAGAGGATTACAGCTCAGCACCCCCCACCCCATCCCACCCGCACTCCCCGCTTCCACTGTTTAAAAGTAGGAACAATAACAATACAATTATTTACAGTGTATCTTCTCCATTTGGAATTCTTACTTTTCAAAGAAAACTCAGCGAGCAAGGTGTTTAAGAAATATTAGAGAGTGAAGGGCTGAGTATCTCACTGCCTGAAACTCCTCCATGAGACTGAGTAAAAGCTCAGGACAACTTTGACTTTCTCTACACAATTGTAGACCTGTGCAAAATCACCTATCAAAATTATTTTTGTTCTCTGGCCTCAGTGCCCAATGCCTGCAGAATTTTCACACCTATTTAATATGAAAATGAAAAAGCTAAAGCAGATCTGTTTTTGTCCATCTAGAAACACACTAAGATGAAAAAACTGTGTCTTGCAGATAATATATATTTTTTTTAAAATAATAAACCTCACCAGTAGAAAACTGTGTAGGCCTTTCCAAGTAGTACACAGGAAGGAGGCTTCACTACTTAGCACTCTGTAATACAATCATTACTGAAGAGGCATTTCATGCATCTCAGAGAAACAGTTTTAAGACTGTCCTGATTTTGAAAAAAAGTTCAATACCTACTGATTTTGGAACAACTAATGTTCTGCATGCCAAGCACTTTCTGAAAGCTGATCCATACCATATAAATAATTGCAGATGTACCAAGTTATTCAACATGGGAAAAAACCCACAGGTTTTAAAGTAGTATTTTTTGAGTCATTACAATGCTGTATTCCTCCCTCCCCTCCTTCATCCCCTAGTGCCCCCACCCCCACCACTGCCCTGATTTTTCCTTGGTGTTATCATTTAGCATAAAGGCAGACTTGTCATACATATGACATGTTGCCATAAAATATTTATGAACGTTTGGGTTATTTCAAGAAATTTTCAGTTCAATCACTGTAAATGCAGCAAGAAGTTCAGGATAATAAGTGAACATTGTGTAGCTTGATTTTTTAAAATTACTTTAATCACAGGTTCAATAGGAAATATCTACCAGGCAAAACTCTCTCGAACCTGAAGTTCACTGTAGAGCTGGCACCTTGTTGCTAAGGCTTTAATCAACCTGGCACTGTTTAGAGCAGATTTTCTACTTCTGTACCACAGAAAGGCAGACCTTGTAGGCCTGGATCTAAAACTATCTTTTTTCTAGAAAACTGTAACTCATGCTTGAAATCAAAGCGTAATTTAGCAGAACTTTTCAGGCTAAGCACATTTTGGTTCTATGCTGAACAGACATAGGAAAGTAGTGAAAACAACTCCAGAAAACTTGTATTGGTTGTAAATGTTGTTGCCTTTATATTTCAATCACAGCAAATGCTGTGGTTCCACTTGCCTTAAAACATGGAGGCAGAAATCTAAAAAGTGTTGTCAAAATTTTAATTTTTCATGTCTACTCTAAATACTGCAGCTCTCCAATTTTACTGTCTCACAGGAAAAACAAATGCTATCCCCTCAGCAAGTAGAAGGAGAAGGGCCCACCACTCAGGACATCAGGGACAAAACTTCAGGGGATCTGAAATGCAGGAACCGTCAAGTCAAAGCACGTATTTTGTACATGCCTAATCGGAGATTTTTAAGACCAGATCACTTGTTCTTCCACCTCCTTTTAGCAATCAAAAATTATCAATCTAGCTCAAGCTACACACTCTAGGTGCCTTATATAGACCAGAAAAGAGAGGGCAGCATCTCTAGCGGGTAATTTGTCTACCCTTGACATCTGGATGGGATGAATGGCGTTCTGAAGATACTACCACTCTTCAGTGACTGCAGAAGGAACACAGATGACAGCTGGGACAACACTGCTTGATTCTTTTGAAAGAATCCTTTCTGACTGCTAACAGCAGGTGACAGTCTCTGACCAGGTTGCTTCCCAGTCTCACTCATGGGTACCTACCGGAACTTGGATGAGCTGCCATCTGACCAGGAGTAGAGGTTCTGACACTCTGTACTATTGTCTACCTCCTCCTTTTTTCTCCTAAGCCCTATCCAAAAATCTCCATCAGAAGCTAAGAGACTCTCAATAAATTTTTCAATCAGTCTTTGCTCTGCTTCTGTTTCAATACTGACTAGATGTCCGCCATCAGCTCTGCAGGCAAGGTGTGCTTCTTCATAGCTGATCCTGCGTGAAGTATCATGAAAATAAACTATTTTGTAGCATGGTTGCTGTGTTCCACCGCGGCAAACTGCCTGTCCTGCAGAAATGGAAAGAAACCTGTTACAGAAATTGTGCCTCTTAGTACCAAAGGTGAATGCTAATACTTCCATTCGGTTGCATTTTGCACTGTACGATAGCTTATATGGAAAACACAAAACAGGTAAAAAGCCTCTTGTATTACTGGACTGGCAAATGGCATCTCCAAACTCTTCTTACTGCACGTAACAGTTTAGGTTGATCTGCACAGCACTGTTCTTTTATGTCCCGCACTTCTCAGCTCCCACAAGAATTTTCTGTGATTTGATGACCCTAGGAGTTCCTTACAAAGAAGCAATGCTGTGCCAGAGAGCAAGCTGACGTGTACAACCTTTTAAAAAGAGAGTTCCTTTACAAGGATTCAAGGAGGCTTTTAAAATAATAATAATAATAACATCAACAACAATAATAATGTTATATTATTATTATGGAACTTAAATGTCTAAAATTAGCGATCGCCTTACACAAGCGGAGATAACAATCATTTATCTTCTGGGGTATATGTAATAGTTTCATGGAGTATATACTGCAGAGTGTCGAGATGCGTTCACGCAGTCCAGTTGTAAGCATTGCTCTGCGCCATAATGTCACTACGGAACTATGATTCCAGGACTGCCCAGGAAGTAAGCAGTGCCTGTTTTCAGGCTGTCATAAGCGAAGGACTTTCTCATGCATGAAGCAGCATGGCTTATTTTGATTAGAAGGAAAGTAAAGGTCAAAGTGAAACGATACACAATCCAAAAATATGCTCTCGTATGTTTCTCAGCAGAAGAGTCCCAATATTTAGACTGTGGAAACAAACAGTTTTGTTTTACTCGGTAACTATTTCTTTTCAAACACACCACAGACACAATCTGCTAACCTACATGTTTTTGCAGAAGAAAAGCATTTAGCAACATTTGTTATGTACTCAGAACAAACGGGATGTGAGGACAGGTCATTATAAACCCCCCCATGGCATATATGCTGGCTTTTCTTTATTCTTACGTGTTCCTGCACAGCCACTCTAAGAGTGGGAATTTAAACACCTTTCATACTGGCATTTTTGAATAGTTAAGCACTTAGAATCACAGAATCTGCTAACCTTTTACACAGAAATTAAAACTGGCTGTACTGCAAAAGCAGTATTTAAAAATATATCTCTAGGCATAACCTGTGTTTCTCTTGGTAACTTAACACTCATGCAGACTTGGTGAAAAAGGCAAAAACCCTTACCTCTTCTGAGGGATATGTCCACTGCTATTGTGGAAGACATAAGAAAAACACACATGGCACATCGTTATTAAAAAAACTGCCGCAACTGCTTAGAAATAGGGTCACAAACTGCCCTTGGGTTCTTTTCTGATACACAAATACTTTTTTCCCCATTAACTGCCAGAAAATCTCTGTCTTACCAGCCAAACTTGCCATTGCATTCAGCTAAGGAAAAAATTATTGTAGTTGATTACTGTCTAGACCTCATTGCTAGTTAGGTTTCCAAATATAGTTTAGGTAACAGAGGACAATTGGTTATGTAGCTCTAACCAGTGCTAAAAGGGTTCCTTGTGTTTTCCCCTTATCTCCTCATTGCCTACATGGGATCTGCCTCAAAGCCTGCTGACTTCAGTGAGCCTTGGTAACGTGAGACTAGGGGCGAGTCAATTATACTGAGAAGTAAAAAATTCCTGAAAAGAAGTACATCTCCAACCCCACAGCTGGCAGCTGAGCCCTCTCACTCACTCCCACAGAAGTCCTGCTGCAGACAAGACCATGGCAGAATTCAAAAGGTATTTATAGATATAATAAAACTATTTGCCTTATGAGGGAATAACATCAACATTTCACAGATGACAGTGTTCAGGCTTTCTGCTGAATATACCAACCTATCAAGTCAGGCAGAAACTTGCCCCAGACTGGCTATTCTGTGCCCTAAACCAAGACTAGACTACCTAGCTTGGGTAGTACATCCAAAACCACTGCCGGCCCAACCTTGAGCTGCCATATACCTGTTCCTACGAAAGGCATCTAAACAGGTGACACTCCTTTGCGGAAAGCCAGGAGGGCTGAATGATAATCAGAAGAGACTTTGTAGAGGAAGAGTAAGACAACCTAGTGTTGGGCGAAAACTCAGCCAGGCTGGGAATTACCACTGAGGGTCGGATGACAAGCGTAGTTCTGCTAGCCAGAGCAGCATCTCAAGCAGCTCAAGAGGCAGAAACGCAGCAGAGGGGGGAGAAGGGTTTCTCGTTGGAAGAGGAAAGTGAAACCGCACTTTCGGCGTGCCCCCTTCACACCCCGAAGGCAGGGGTGCTCCCACCCAACGCGGAGGACGCGAAGGTCTCCCCAGGACAGGGCCAGCCCCCGCTGGGGACTTAGGAGGGGAAAATTACCGCGCGAGGTAGCGCACACGCGTCCTCGCCTGGGTCGCAACGGCTGCCCCAGGCAGC